TTTTTTACGAGAGCAGTCGTAAAACGGGATGAATATGTGAATAGAAAATGACTCCGCTAGCCAGTTACTTATACTGTACTATTCTCATGGAGTTATATCTAATTAAACATAATTTATTCATGCCATAGGATAGTGCATAATCAGCAATACCGTAGTAATATAATTATTTTATTCTATTAAAAGATCTAGATATAAATAATTGATGTTTATTATAATAAAACAGTACTTTAGATCAATATTTCTTATTAAGAAATAGAGACTTAAGAAAATTTTCTTAAAGTATCAAACTACAGCTCTGGGAGGCCTGGGAACGAATCCTGATAGGCCGAAAAATACCAGGAATTTTTTGGCGGATCCATTCCGGCTATGTCATGCCTCGTCCCTCACCACTCGGTGAGCTAGTCCCATTGTGGACCAAAAAGCTCCCTTAGTAATCACAGGGCAAAAAGATTGGGAAAAATCTATAGTTTCAGGAATAAGTACAGTTTATGAAATACAGTAATTTTACACATATGTATTATGGATATATATATCTATTATTATGGATATACATATCCATAATAATAATACATACGTGTAAAATTACTGTATCTCATAAATTACTGTTCTCATTACTGTATATATATACAGTAATGGAAACAGTAATTTATATACTGTATTCTGTTATATCAAATAAGGCTAAATATAGTAATTGATGTTATTAAAAAATTACAGTCAGGTACAGTATTAGATTAAGGAAATTTGGAGCACTAATTACGGTAAAACTAGCGATTAGGGTTCCCAAAACAACTCAACCCATTAGTTGTATTTACTTCTGGATGGAGGAATTTACTTTTAGATTTGGACTGTAAGCAATTTTATAGTTTTTCCAGGTCTAAGTGCCGAACTTAGACCTGGAAAAACTATAAAATTGCTTACACTTACATTATACTATAACTTTGCTTACACTCGGCACTTGGTCATGGCTCGATAAGGATCAGAACAGATGAAAGTTGGAAATGGTCGGATCATCATTCTCATCTCATAGTTTTTACTTTTTCTGTTCTGTGACCAATAAGAGGGCCTTTTACTCAAGCTCATCGTGGGTTCGGCCAAGCCAACGATGGAGCGCCCGAGTGATAATTAAAATAAACCAATGAGTTTTAAGTGAAAACATTTTTGAAATACAGTAGATCGTATATAAGGCATCAGAAAGATAAATGTGGTATCATCTTCGTTCGAGAACTATAAAAAATATGTGACTAAAATCAACAACAGATTTTCCATCACCTATCAAAAGGAGTTTTAATTTAAGTCATTTTGAAATTATTATTTTTATTGTATGTAAAATCTAAATTTTGAGACCTCTATAATCGAGACTCGAGTCAATTCGCCTTACTGCAGTAACGTAATTAGAACCAATATTAGTGAGATTCATGAGCTTCTGCAGAGGAAGCAAATAGTACACTTGCCCCACCCTGGGATCGAATAAAAAATTCCACAAATTTATAATCGTAAAAATGATTAAGATATTTAATCTTACACCTTTCGACATGAGACGCTCTGATGCAATCCTTTATTCTTTAATCTGCTTGTGAAAAAATACCCTGAAAAAATTAAATAATTAAATAAAGTTGTAATGAAAATAGGCAGCTTATAATTGTATGTTGAAGTATAATAATTAAAACAATCTCATCCGGATTTAAATGTTGTTTGAATGTTTTTAATCACCTATAAAGTCAGAAGTGATAGTTTTTTCTCGTACTTTATATAGTTTTAATAAAATTAAATAAAATTTATTAATATAATGGTTTCCAAGCTTTGTCCCCCTGGAAAATTTTCTGCAGACGTCCATGATGGAGCCTGTATCAGAACGTGCAACGTCTGTATCGCTGTGGATGTAGCGTTATGAATGGAGACTAAACTCTTAATTAAATATTGTACTGTATATACTGTACATATACTTAAGTACGTTTGTCACATTCAAATCTTTTTTCTGTACTTCATTGCTTTTTCCTTTAATTAATTTATTTACAAAGATAAAGAGTCGCTGTATCCCATCCTGCCATCATGATTATGCTAATGCCTTCCGACTGCACTCTATTTTGGCGTGGCTTCTTTTTTCTTCTACAACTAGCATTAGATTTGTGATATTTCTAAGAAAATATATTTTATTGTTTAAACTATTTATTTATAAAATAGTTTATCAAATGAATGCTCTATTGTGTAATTCTTGAATAAGTCATGCTTTTTAATTATAGTACTTTCTTTCTTGGACTTGTTCCTGATATTTAAGCCAAATCAACATCTCTTTAAGTGAATTTAATTTAGGTGCTCCATTGAATTGACTTATTAAGTTAAAAGGTAGAATTCTTCATTTCTTTGAAACTTGTTCTTCATGATTGCATTTCATTTTTCCACGATTCAACCAACTGTACCATGCGAGAACTGCATAAATGAGCCTAAATATTTGATCAATGCGGAATGATCTGTGGATGAAACCGAAGCGCTATTTTCAGTATGACACAAAAATATAATTCATCATCTTTTTACTTAAATTTTGTAAATCTGAATTGATTTATTGATAATTTTCTGAACTCATTAGATCGATGAAACCAATAGAAATCACTGATGTTCTGGTAAACGGAAGGTAATTTCGATTGTGACAACTACTTCAAAGAGCAATCAATCAATCAATCAATCAATCTGGTTTTATTAATGTACAAAGTACATGTCCTGGTCCCGCATAAGCATCACCAGGGCAAGAATACAAAGTAGAAAAATGTTACAGAATAATAATGATTACAGAGGTAAATAAGATAAATTAAAAGTGAACAAGTAACAAAAACACAAATTAAATACAATGCAACTCGCGTGAAGATAAATGAAAAGAGGGCAGAACTGTTGCCCTTATTAAAGGGTTATGTGTGTATGCTAATGTTGTTGATACAGAAGATCTTCTTAGCAAACCACTGAAAGTAGGTGAAAATTTCTCTGTTAGTCCATATATCCGATGGGTTGCATGGCCATGAAATGTTGTGGCAGTCAAGTATAGTCTTGAATTCATACCTTTCTCGTTCAAAGGCAACACAATTATATATGTAGTGTTCCGGTCCGTCTCTAGTATTGCAGGCAGAACAAGTGTCGTTATTTCGGTTTGAGAACCTGTGTAAATAATTGGCAAATTTTCCATGATTCGTTAAGATCTGGCTGAGATAAAAGTTGTGAGTATACCAGTCAATATTAATATATTTGTTCAAGTCAGGGATAAATTTGTGGGTAATATGTTCATAGTTCTCATCCCAGCGATCTTGCCACAGCGTGATAGTTTCCTTCCACAAAAGTTTACGTAGGGTTCTTTGGCTGATCTTCTTATAGGCAATGAGGTTGTGGTCGATATTGGTAGCTAACTTGGCAAGTGAATCTGCCCTTTCGTTACCCTCAAGCCCCTGATGGGCTTTGATCCAGGTAATACCTATTTTGCAGCTAGTATGCCTTATAGTATTTCTGATGGCTTCTGCCAGTGGATGGAGTTTATTACTTTTTATGATTTTATAAGCGGTCTGAGAGTCGGTATAAATGTTAGCAGTTAAGTTTTGATAGTTGCTATTGATTAATTCAGTAGCCTTGCAGATAGCAAAAAGCTCCGCCTGGAAAACAGAGCAATCATCATCAAGTCTATAAGTCATGTGTTCAATTTCACTGCTATCGTTATATATAACCAAACTGCAGCCAACTCTGCCATTGATTTTAGAACCATCTGTGTAAACACTTATATCAGCGTTTTCAGTAGCATCCATGATTCTGTTACCATATCCAGTGGGGAAGATAGTTTCATTATATGGAAATTTCCACTCGACGTCGTTATGCCTAATCATTTTGGTGTCGATTTGTATGTCATTTCCCCATTTTATTTGTGAGAAGTTGCATCTTTCGAGGATGGTGAGATCAATTGGTGGCCTCCTGGCCAGCACCTGGAGGCTACTTCAAAGAGCAGCGGAAATACAGTCTATAGGCCTAAATATTTGTTAGATTAGAAGCAGAGCTACTGATGCGGTTTTTTACTTTCAACATTATCTTCGCCACTATAGTTCTTTTAAAACTCTTTCTGCCCTGTGGGCACTATAAGAGGACCTCCATTAGCAAGCCCATTATGGGTTCGGCCAGGCCCACAATGGAACGACCGGGTGGTGAGGAAAGAACTCTGGTAATTGTAGAGGCCCTCTTAGTTCCCACAGGGCGGAAAGAGTTTGTTTAAGTTATGGCAACTCAACACTTCGGTGATCTGCCTAGGGGATGCCTTCCGGGAGACCTTTTTAGGGGTAACTGATCACTATTCAGTTGCCCTTCCTATCGTTCAGACGTGGAGAAAATCCGAAAAACTCCACGTGGCCAGCTCGTCCGAGCGAGGCGCGAGCCCACGACCGAGATCCCAGTATTCAGGGTACGAAGACCGCTTGGCCACTGGTGGGCCGCGGAAAGAGTTTAAAATAAATAAATAATTAAAAGAAAAAGCCACGAAGGACCCAGTTCGAATTCAGTCTGACTCTAATAGTTAACTTATCATAAGTCATTTAAATAGAAGTACTGTATCGTCCTTTACTTTGCATACACGCTGACCGATCGCAATGCGGTTCAGGTCTATTCGTAATCGTATAATTGAGTCCGACCAAAACATTTATTGATACAATTGCATTAACAAATTCTAACAGATTCATAGAAATAAGAATTTAATAAATACAGATAAACCTTACTAAAATAAGGAATAAATTAACATAATAGAGAACCCAATCGAATCATCTTAATGTACCGGTCTATACAAAATACAATACAGTACTGTACTTCCATGCCGCTAGCTAAGCGGATGATTAACTTTCAATAAAAAGATTCCTAATAGAAATGGATATATTAATTATTTACAATTTAAATTTTAATAAATTCATTAGTTGATAATATTTATTATTATTTAATAAATTAAAATGTCACGGAAAATAAAAATTTATTTAAAAAAATAAATTTTCATATATAAGAGGGCGCTTCGTATTTGCCACGTTATGATATAGTTGTTGTGAAAATTGATAGAAGATGGTAAGTTTTAAATATATAATTATGAAAAATAAATTAAATGATTGAAACTGTATTAAAGCATAACCCATAATATATGTAATAAAAATTTACAGTTTATAATCGAACATAAACTCAAAGTAGCTAGCTTAGGTTTTCTGGTAGAAGTTACTTTTAGTTAATTGGTGTATATAAGTTTTATATGTGCAAATTAATTAAATGTAACTTATACCATAAAGGTTCAATAAAGTTAAAACATTTAAGGTAAATGTATTTAAATAAACATTATTTTTAATAAAAATTCGCGAAATAAAGAATTTTAAGTTGTAAAATAACAATAACATTACTAAAAGTTTTCTTGAATGTGTGTTTTTCCTTTAAATATATTTTGAAAAGTACACAAGTGTGCACTCACTCACATAGTCACTAGATCACTTACATTTCTTCATAATTAGGAATTTGGTTACATTATTGTGAACAAAATTATCATGATGGAAATTGACATGTCAAAAATACATTTTGGCAAAATATTTCTAATTATTTTAATGATTTATTAATTCTTAAAAACTTGGAGATGCATTGATTGTATTGCTAAAATATTACTTGACAGTTCATAACATATCTTCTCACTCAAACAAATTTAATTTAATGGGCCATCATGTGAACAAGATAAGATATTGATATAAAAATTTAGAATGTTTTTAATTAATTAAAGTTTAAAAACTTGTTTGTGAATTAATTTCTAATTTGAAACAGACTTAAATCCATTAAAACTTTAACTGGAATATTTTTAAACCTATCGTGTTTTAAAACTTCTGATGGCAATATTTGAATCTGTGTTATTTTTATGTATGAAGTTAATTTCTTTCTATCAGTAATTTCTTGAACACAGATAAAGGTCCCTCTTAATTGCTCACAGGGCAGAAAGAGAGAAATAGGAATGGAAAGAAAGTTTGTTGCAATAAATATCATTTTGTTTGTAGAAAGTAATGAACTATACAATCAGATTCAAAAATATTCTTGTAGAAAATGATCTTTTTTATTATAGCTTATATTATAATTTTATATTTAATATGTTAGTTAAAAAATATTAATTTTTATCTTATAATAGAGAATAGACTTTTCTTTTCTTCTTTCCACTCCTAAGAGGGGTTTTTTTATACCCATCAGAATGGGGTGAGAGACTGGGTAGTAGAATCTTGACCAGAATGGTTACCAGAGGATAGTGAGGGTTATATTCAGAATGGACCACCCACGAAAAAATTCCTGTAGTTATTTGACTGTCTAAACTTGATTCTAGATAGCTTTGTGGACATAGGATTAAATTTACGCAGCTGAATAACTTCCAAGTTAGATGAGCAGGGTGATCAAGGAGTCAGCCAGATTGCTAAACTGGCTGACTCCGTGACCACCTTGCCCCATCTGACTATCCAGAGAAATAGAACTTTAACTACTTTTCAAATACGTATTCATTTATTGATCTTTATAATTTATATATCTTTATAATAAAAATAATCTTATGCTGAATATTGCTGGTTAAAAAAACTAATCATTACAAAATGTATAAAAACATAATTAGTTTTTTCATTTTTAATTCAATAATAAATATTATTTCAAGAAAAGATAAATTTATTAGAATTTTTGAAAAATTGGAAAATAAATTTACAGTTTATTAATAACATTTTACATTAAAAAGATTTAATGTTAAAGTAGTAATAAAAATTTTTATTAAATATGGATTTAACACTACTAGTACAGTGTGAAATTATATAATTTGTGCTGGACATAGTTTTTTTTTTATATTATAACTAATACATTGAATTTAATTGACTAATAAAACTAAGAAATGACACTTTAGGGATGCTGCAAAACTGGTGCTGAGCAATGCCATAATACTTATTATGGCATTGCTTATTAGACTTTGCATACTTTTAGTAATATACATAATGCTACATTGATAAAGAAGTTAGGATGCCACAAGAAAAAATTACCACATTTGGGTGCTACTATTAGAAAATAGTTGAAAAGCAGCATTATGTGAATATCTTTCAAATAAAATGGATTTCATTTGATAATTTGGAACTGGAAAACAAAGTTCTTGATCCTAGATCAACTCATCCCATATTGATTGTTTTAGAGAGACTATTAAAAATTAAACTTATCTACAATATATATTTCTTAAGGTCACTCAATAGTTAAGATACAAGATCTAATCTAACTTCTAGATATTGTATGATGTCAACTGTCTATAACTTGCAGCATCTATAGCATACATTTCAAGGTCATTTATAGCTTGGATGAACTCTTTGTGCATGATGTGTATTATATTAGCACTCTTTCAGTGAGGAGTTTATCTTAATTCCATTTGTAAAAATGATTAGATGAACAGGCAAGACTTTATTTTATGATCAATCTAGATTCAGCCTTGTGAGCAATTCTCAGTTTTCTTTGATATAGAAAGAATTGGCAATAAATAACTTTTCATAATATTAGAGAATGAGATTTCTGGAAGAGATGATTTAATGATTTGGAGGGAATATATGCAATTTGAATATTGATTTGTAAATTTATAAAAATTGGATTCCAATGCAGTATTTGTGAGATGTTGAAACCATGTTTTTAAGAGGTTTCAATTATAATTTTAGTTCATAGATAATAATGTGTGAACAGGACATGACATATAATAGAAGAATATCTTGAAAGTTTAAAACATTTGGTGAATGGAGTGGTCACTCAACCAGATTCTAATCCAATAGAACATTTGAGATGTTCTAGGAAGATATAACTTCAATAACAGTTCCTAGCATTAACCACCATATGTGGGAAAAAACTATATTGCTATCAAATTGAAGCCCTCGGGGTAATATAGCACTAATCCTCAATCACATTTCTGAAGTAATTTGGTTTGAATGTTCAAAAAAAATCTTAAAATTTATGAACAGGTATGTGTTAATACTTTTGCTCTCCAAACTTTGACTGTAGATATGGCTGTCATCTCATGCTCAAAACAGAAAAGATTATGATTATCTGATAAAAAAAATCCCACAAAAAAGATTTTGCAGAATAAGGTAATGTGGAATAACAGTGTGTCTCTGAAAGAATTTTTGCAATTCTCACAGCATTGCTTATTGAAAATCAAAGAATATCATCTAGCAAATAATTTTATTTCCATTTAATATTTTTGTTTACATTACATTGCTTTTCTCAGTGTTGTTCATCAATATTTTCCATATCAACAATGGTATCATCTGTCTTGATCTAGTAATAGAAACCTTGGTATGCTTTGGGAACCCATTTCTTCAGAGATATAATATCATTCACTTTATTTTTTGCAATCAACAATGTCTCTGTGTACTTTTTCTCCAATAGATATAGATGTGTGCTGATGCTAGGGCACATTAATCATAATTATATACATCAAAATGCCACAAACTGAGGGTTAACACTATACTCCTGAGGGCTATAATTTGTATTTATCAGTCCATGTAATTTGGAAAACATCTACTTTAATTCTCAACATGAGTAGAGCACTGTTCAGTTTATAAATTTGTAATGAGTAATTGTATATCTTAAGTGTTTTTATGTGGTTTAAGAATGAATCATGTTTGTTTAGCAGTAACCAGTCATAAATTTTTAAATAAATCAATATATTATGGAGATGAAGCATTATAAATTTTAACATTTTAAATAGTCTCTATTTATAATGTACTTTTGATACAGGGGAGTTTCAAAAGACTGAGTTAAATCATTTACTGTATCAAAAGTTGACTGTATACATTAAAAATAGTAAGAACCTACAAAATTGTTTATATCAAGAATGTATTTCATTTTGCATAAATGTTTTTGAATCAGCAGCAGATTCATGGGAGCTACAGGGGCTTAAGCCCCCTCATTGACACAAAAGTGTATTTGTACAAATTTCAAAACATGGTGGAAAATATGGTTTATCAGACTGTCTGCAATACAAGTCTTGCACGTTAATAAAATGTAATTATTCAGATACTAGCAGATATATCTGGACAAAAAGTAAGAACAACAAATATTAAAATGAAAACTATATTAAGAATTTGGTTATTTTAGCTTACTATTGTCATGTTTATTGTGATATTTGGAATGGCACAATATTGGTCAGATAGACAGGTATTCATGTTTTTCAACAGAAAATAATAATTGACTTCCATCTGCACAAAAAGATAATTCAAGTTATCAAATTTTTTCTGTTAACTTTAATGTATCATTCATAGACAAATGTGAAATGGTAATTGGCCAGACAGTCAAGTTTCACAAAGAATGGACAAAGTGTTTAAAGTTTTACACCCTCAAACTCCAAAAACATTTTGTGCTTGCTGGTAACTTTATATTAAGTAATTTTTCTATACAAATACTGCTATCCTGCTGGTCAGATAGAAAGGGGACATGTAAGCATGGAGTTGAACTTAATTTGACCAAAAGTAGTGATTGGCCTCCTTCCAAATGGGAGAATGGCCCTGGAAAAGTTTCATTGCATTGCTCAAACTGTGTTCAAATGTATAAAGAACAAACTAACAAACTTTCTTCTTTATATATTAGATTTTAAATTTTTGTGCTAGTATGAGGGCTCGGACACAAAAAATTATATTTAAAAATTTTTGAAAAGAAAAAAAATCAAAAAGGATATGATTATATCCTTTCCCACAGACTTTTAAGTTTATTATTGCATTTAAACTTCTCTTTTGAATTTATATATTTTATTAAATTTTTCCTTAGGTTTCGCTTATTCAGACTGTAGATACAGCTCATGAAGATATGATTGTGAGTATATTATATTTTATTATAAAATAAAGATCTTTAAATTTAAATGATTATGAATTCTAGTTATTGTACAAAATAAAACATTACAGGTATTCCTTGTTTAATGTGGTTTGCTTAAATATGGGATTTGATTAACATGCAAAATTAATTGCAAAAATCCTTTTTATATATGCAGCAGAAGTTTTAATTGACACAGCTTTCATTAATGGCTGCCTTTACTTAACATAGATATGGTTTTCTCAGCAAGTAAGATGGTGTTGAATTTGCTATTTTCTTGTGCAGGGTGATTTCTGATATGTAGTTTAATTACAATAATTGTGAAATTTAATACATTACTACTAATGTGATATTCTATTCTTGTTTTAGAAGCTTATTTTAAAACTTTGCATTTTGTTTGTGTAAAATCAAATTGAATTGTCTGCAGATAAAATGCATATTATGTATACTTTTTAAGTTTTGTAAAGGATATAACGCTATACAAACAGTAAAAAATGCTCATAGTGTATATGGGGAAGGTGTTCCTAAACATCAGATGTGTCAAATGTGGTTTTGGAAAGTTTTGTTTAGGAAATTTTAAACTGAAGGATACAAAATGTACAGGACATCTAAAAACTGTTAATGAGAAATTTGAAGAAGAAATTATTAAAAATCAACAAATAACGTCTCGTGAACTTCAAAAAATCTTAGTGTATCACTGTCATGATGATTGTGTATAATTTTGTCTGACGAATGTAACATCTGACAACTGAAGGTATAATTTTGTCTGACAGCTCTAAGGTTTCATTTTATTTTCAAATTATTTTCATTCTTATCATAGAAAACTTTTATCAATGACAAAATTAAGATAAAAATATTTGTTATTAACTGAAAATTTGTTCAAGCAAGTGGTGATTGTTCAGTTGTGTACTGAAGTACGACTATATTTGATTAATGTGATTTTGATATACTTGGCAGCATTGTGGCAATTATTCATATTAATCAAGGGATACTTATATACAAAAAGTTAATTGACATAGTAATTCACAATAAGATTTTGTAATAATCTCTAACTTATAAATATAATAAATATAATCATTGAATTTATTTTATTTTATTTGTAATATAGATTAAATAAAATCAATGTTGGCTGGATGATTAAGTAGTTATAATGGTAGCCCCTGCTCTAGTGATCCAGGATCAAATCTGGATGGGTCAAAAACCCCAGGAATTTTTTGGGGATGGTCCATTTGGATATGTTGGACCTGCCTTGTTCCTCACTATTCTGGTTGCTCCATTGTGGGCCTGGCCAAACCCAAAATGAGCTTGTTAAAAAGATTCTTTTAATCCCACTTGGCAGAGAGTTAAAAATATATGTTGCAGGGATATGATAAAAATGGGGATTTGACCAAATCCCTAAGGGAGATGATCAATTTACTGAAGATGTTAAAATGACAATTCTACAGTCATTTCCCTAAAAAAAAATAAGTGATTTGATCAAATCCCTGTACTATTTTTATGAAAAGATAAAATATCAGTTGAAAAAATGGAAGATTTTTCATTGAAGAAATTTAATTAAGGACGTGTTAGTGAATTTCACAGTTTTGGTTGATGTACCTAAGGTAGATAGAGGTCCATTAGATGGAAATAGTATTATGGGGGTAGCATTAGATAAAAAAATGATTTATACCAAATTGGTACTTCAACTGGCATTATAAAAGATTGGCTTCCTGGAAACCCTCTTCAAATAGCTACAACCACATTTACCGAAACCATCCCACTGATAAAGCTAAGTTTGTGAGAAATTGCTGGAAAATTATCTTTATTCGGAGGTCAAGGGTTTAAGAAATGTTCCTGTGAAAAATCCAAGGTACACTGCAAAACATATAGATGTGCCTGTAAAAAAATAACGTCCTCTGTAACTCCAGGTGCCACAAATCTACGTGTTTCAATAAAAATAAATAAATTTGGCATTATCTCTATCTTTTCGTATAAGTATGTACTTTTTACTTTGTTGATTTTGTTTTTTGTCATTTCGTGAAACCAGTTTAGAGATTTGATCAAATCACTTCATTTAATTAGGGAAATGTCAAAATTGAACCTTTATTTTAACATCTTCAGTAAATTGATCATCTCCCTTAGAGATTTGACCAAATTCCCACTTTTATCATATCCCTGCAACATATATAAAATAAATGCAAGAATAAAGAAGTATATTGAAAATATATATAACATTGAAAGGATGGATGTGGATTGTATCACTGTTCAGTAGTACTTTTAAACAAGTAGAACAACAACATTATTTAGAATTTTTTTTTAATCTTATACAGCACCCTTTTTTAAACAAATTTTATCAAGTCAATTGCTCAATTTTTAATTTCAATTTGTAATTAATAATCACCTATGTATGTAAAAAAAATTTTTTTAAATGTTATCTGTATTATTGTGTGTGATGTAATTTATATCTATTATTTCTTTTGTAAAGAATAAGGACTGAAGAAGAGTCATTAAGACCTGAAATACATTTCCTCCATTAATAAAGCCTATATCAATAAGTGTTCCTTGTATTAAAAGGTTAGCCAAAAAAAAGCTTTTAAAAGCTAAAAACTTTAGGTTTTTTAAAAATATCCACAGAAACCAGTAACAGAACGATTAATTAAAACTGTTTAGAATGAATACAAAATTTATAAATGAATATAAAATTTTGGCTATTCAAAACAAATTCTAGACATATATAATTCACATACACCCTTTGTCAGAAAAGTTCCAGAACAAAGTTTGTAAAAAATAGAAAATTGCAATTACCAAGTAATGATCATATCTCCTGTCAAAGTAGTTCCCTCAGCTATCCATACACAATTGACAATGTTTCTGGAGGTCTTGGAAGCAAGCAGAGAAGGCTTGAAGTGTGATGCTTCTTAGCACATTTGTCGCAGTTTGTTGACAGTTTGCATGTTTGATGAAATATCCCTTTCAGTTGCTTGACAAAATGTCCCTTTCTGTTACAACCCTTTGTCAGAAAAGTGTGATTTTTTTCTTGTTTCCGCTAGTGAAAAAGCAACTGAAAGGAATGGGACATTTCGTCAAAATATTGCAGACATCCAACAAACTGTGACAAATGAGCTAAGAAGCGTGACACTTCAAACTTTCTCTGCTTGCTTCCAAGACCTCCAGAAACATTGGCAATTGTGTATAGATAGCTAAGGGAACTACTTTTGACAGGAGCTAGGATCATTACTTGGTAATTGCAATTTACTATTTTTTTACAAGCTTTGTCCTGGAACTTTTCTGACAAAGGGTGTAAAATACAAATTAAATATTTTAGGATTTAAAATTTTTAAGACAAAAAATAAAAGTAAACATGAACAGAATGGAGTAGATGACTATCTCAAGTTGTAGAAAGTTTTCCATGCATCAGATATGGATTCTGTCTTTTCTGCATTGATACACTTACCCTTCCTGAATGATATGTGTATTTCCAGTCTCTACTGCCTTTAACTTTACTAAACAATGTTTGTCAGATAATTTCCACCTCATGTAACTTGACATAAATATCCAATTCTAACACACATTTTGTAGCCAATGTACTTTCATTTAGTAGTCAATATAGTCAAAGGATCAGCCAAAGTTAAAATGTGCTCACTAACGACACCATACTTAGATTAAGAATAAACTATACTGTCTTTTAACATTTGTTTACTTGAAAAGTTTTTAACTACAAGCAAACATTTTTGACATTTCAAAATATCATCTTCGGGCAGATGGTATGTAACATTTGAATTACAATTTTTAAAAAGTATGTTAAGTTTTAACGGAACCAGAAAGGTTGATCCTTTTTGATTTTGTACTTTTGTTTTCTGACATCCTTTCTTAACCTATTTTATGTTGAAATTTTTCTCCATTACTTGTTGTACCATGTTGAATTTTTGTCAATGTTAAGCCTAATGAAAATTACACATTTTTGAAAAAATAATCATATCATCCAAAATTATATTTTTATTTTGATATATTATAGATATATTAATAAATGTAAAAACAAAAAATTATATTTCGGAACTTAGTTTAAATATAAAAATTATGACTAGCAACATCTAGTTTCAAAAATGTTTTGATACTGAAACGCGATATCTCAGGTCCACAGGTCAAGGTCATTAGGTCATGACCTGAGATATGGCAGGAATACCAGGGAGTAGGTTAATGATAGTGATAAAGAGCCAATTTGTTCAAGGTCACATCTAAATCAGTCATTTTTAACTTGTACCCTATAAATCCTCTGGATGCGTAATTCATCCAAGTAGTCCTTATCATTTCTCAACAATCTAAAAATCATATGGTTTCTTCTACATGCATTCCTGGCACCTGTAGTCCTAGCCAATTAATATAAAGACTAAATTTTTGTTATAACAAACTATCTTTTATCCTCTTGTCCTCTTGGGTTGCTAATGAACATTTTTTCTTTTGTAGTAATGTTTGTTGACAATAAAGACCTTGAATTAAACTATCTGAATAACCATGTTGCTTCACCATACTTCTATTTGTTCTTTTTCTATTTGTTTTTTTGCTAATTTGGACATTAGCAAAAAGGAAGGAAGGAAGGCCAAATGAAAATGGCTGAAAATGTTTGTAATGTATGGTATTAAAACTTAATTTTTTAATTTCTTTGCTGGAACTGTAGAAAAGGTGTGGTTGTATGCTGAAATTACTGTTACTAAATATAATTTTTCATGTTGATATTAGGTACAGAATGTTTCTTGCTATGTGTAACATTTGAAAGTTCTCATTTTATTCTCAAAATTCTTACTTACCACTCAAAATTCCTGATTTGACTTTGATCTATGGTTGGATGCTCTTCTTGTTAATATCTCTTCCACTTTAATCCAAACTTGAAACCAATCAGTGCTGTCAAGTTCTGGGTGGAGTTAAACAACAACACTGAGCAATTCTGCACCATTTCAGACAAGTACAGTCTGAATCTCTTGCTGTTAAAAACCATTATGAAAACTGGTGTGTTTGGCAAAGGCAAGCTGTTGTCTCTTCCCCCATTTATAATGATAATTGATTTTTAAGAAATGTGTGACAACTATATATATAAGCTTTCATTCAAAATTTAAATTTTCTCAGTAATACAAACAAATAATTTTGATTTATTTCTAACAATATTTAAATTAATTTTCTTCAGCATGATGCTGAGATGGATTATTACGGAACTCGTGTGGCCACTTGCTCTTCTGATCGATCTGTCAAGATATTTGATGTCCGAAATGGCACTCAGAAATTGATTGCTGATCTAAGAGAGTGAGGTTAATTTCTGAAGTAATGTGAAACAATTAAAATTTTGGGTTAAGTATTATGTATTTTGTAGGCATGAAGGACCTGTATGGCAGGTGGCATGGGCACATCCCATGTTTGGAAACATATTGGCATCGTGTTCATATGATAGAAAAGTAATTCTTTGGAAAGAAACTGATGGAATTTGGAAGAAAATATATGAATATGGTAATCATGATTCTTCAGGTATGTTTGTTTTATAAATTATTCCTGTTAAATAATAGTCTATATGATAAATAAATTCTAGAACTTAAAATTTGCTTTTATGCTAAATATAGGCATCTAGTTCATTTTATGTATAATGAAACAGAATTCCAGTGTTGTTCTAAATGTTTAATAAATTTTTACCAATAGTTAATTCAATCTGTTGGGCACCACACGAGTTTGGTCTAATGCTAACCTGCGGCAGTTCTGATGGTGCAGTTTCAGTCATTTCAAGCTCTGGGGATGGAAATTGGGAAACAAAGAAAATCAACAATGCTCACACTGTAAGCAAATTATACAATTATTAAACATCTCAAAAACATTCTAAATTATGTGTTTTTGAACAGATTGGTTGCAATGCAGTAAGTTGGGCACCCGCAGTTTCGCCTGGTTCTGCATTAGAACAGTCAAATGCCCCTCGTCCAGCACCTGTCAAACGATTTGTGACTGGAGGCTGTGACAATTTAGTCAAAATTTGGAAATATGTGTAAGTTGCATAATTTTAATTAGCAATTTTAACATTGAAATGACAAAAGATTGAATGATTTATTATATTTTAGGGATGATGATGATAAGTGGATTGAAGAACAGAAATTGGAAGCTCATTCTGATTGGATAAGGAATGTGGCTTGGGCACCATCTATTGGATTACAAAGAAGTATGATTGCAAGTTGTTCACAGGTATTTTAAAATTGATTTATATTATCACAGAAATGAACTTCAAAAATAAAATTAGAATTAGATAATTAACCAATTTAAAGTTTACTATCCATAATTAAAATAAACTCGAAAATTGAAAGTATGGTGAAGTTTGTAGTGCAGAGACAATAATAGCCTGACATTTAATACCCATGCACTAACATTTGATTAGCATTAAAGATTCACAATAATTATATGCTTAACAAAGCAAGAACTCTCAGCTTTTTGTTTGACATTTTATAGTTGTGGAGTGCAATAAAAAATTGAAATTAGAGGTTAGCAAAAGTATAATATGATAAAAATGTATATACAATACTCTATGTATATATGCATCCAAACAAGTAAAAACACAATGATAAGGTGGCTGGCTGGCTTTATAAGCAACAAAGAAAAAGGAAATACATAAAATTATTGATTTTTCATGGTCTTAAGTCTTTTTTTTTTTTTTTTTAGTTTTGATCACTAAAGCATGGTAAAGTCAATATGTATTGTCCGAAAGAGAGTTAAAATTCTACTGGGTAGTGCTGCAAAAGTATATATTCCATTTAAATCAGTAGTGTCACACATGTATCGCAATAAGGACTCCTTTTTGAACAGAACCATCATTGTTATGTTATCACATGGATTTGCTTAAATCATATGCTGTGAGTATAAGTTTGGTCTGATGCTAACCTGCGGCAGTTCTGATGGTGCAGTTTCAGTCATTTCAAGCTCTGGGGATGGAAATATAAAATAAAATTATATGAAACAAAATACTACAAACTGATAATGTGCTGTATGAAATACGATACCTGATGACAATAGGATTTTAGAGTTAAAACATAAGAATACCACAACCATATAATTAAGAAAAGTAAAAGGAAATTATATGAAAAATTCATTACAAATCAATGTTTAGAAATATTACATCATTCATGCCCAAAATATGTTGAATTAGCTTAATACTCCCAGGTTTGTAAGGTACCTTTCACAGTAATTGTTACACTCAGTGTTATTAATCATAAATTTCAAAAATATATGTGGTAAAACCCATTTTAAGAAAAATTATTACAATAAGTTTGGTTTATTTGGTTATGGCAATGTGAAACGTGCAATCTGCTGAAGGGGGATACCTCCCGGGAAAACTGGCCCCTATTTAAATGTTACTAACTTGAAGAAAGGCCATCCTGTCAGCAAAGGTCAAACTTACGACTAATTACCAGTGTAACAGTTTCAAATCCATGTAGGTGAGTGCTATGTGCTACTCATCAAAGTAGTAATGTAGTGTGTGTACTTTGTATGAATTATATTTAGTTTATATTATTATTTTTGAAATTTTTTGCCAATAGATGGTACTGCATGTAAATCCAGCAAATCCAATGTAGACAAAAATTAATTGATATACTGTATACAAATCTAATAAATATTTTGGGGTGGTATGTATGATGTTATCTAAGTTAGTAATATGTTAACAAAATTGCTGAGTTTCATAGCAATTGGTTGAATAGCCTTGGAGTACATAGTGAACAAACAAACATTCTCATTTATGGATATAGATATACAAATATTTTGTGCATGTAATTTTGTAACAGATGGCACACTAAAGTGCCTTGGCACAATGGTTGAGAATCACTGCACTATACTATACAGGATCTTCTAAAAAGAATTCTACCATTTTAAATTATTGTAATTATGTTAATTATTATCTGAAAATGTTATGTTGTTCATTATAATATTGAAAAATTATCCAAGTTTCACATTTGCCCCTTACCTCAACATAGTCACTTAATATCTCAAGGCATGCATACAAGTGATAATCAATTTCTTCCTATGCTTTCTCCAGCATATCTGTCATCACTTCTCCCACAATATCCACAATTTTACAGATCCTGCAGATCACTCATGTGGCATAATGATGATTGATTCCAACTCTGCAAACTACAGAACACCTATCTGTATTGAAGTCACAATTTTCATTTATGGTGCTTCCTATAAATAGTAGATGAGATGGTGATTGAATGCAGATTGGAGATGAAGCTCAGATGGTTACTCTATTGATTAGTTTATGCCACATGCTTCTCACATAATAATTAACTTCTAATTACAGTAATTTAAAATGGTAGCATTCATTTTGGAAGACTTTATATACATTAATGCATGTAATGTAATATGTTAGCATATTAACTGCTTCTTCATTAGAAACTTGTTCAGTATCAGGATTTTCTGCACATTCTTCCACTACATCATTTTAGTTGATATCATTTTCAGATTCAGTCATCATTCAAATTTTCATCTTCTGTTGCAATTTTTTTCATTGTCAATTCTATGTGCATTATACTCCAATTTCAAACAAAAAAAGAAAATTAAAAAATAAATACGCTAATAGGTTGCAATATCTGTCAGAGCAATTTAAGATGATAAGAAAAATGTGTAATTTGCCTAACAAAGAACTGACAAAGCAATTCTGTCTAATCAAAGTTGTCAGATTCTATGCAATTTCATAACAAAAATATTTTAATATTTGTGTTATAAAATGGCATAGGATCAGCAACTTTTAAAAATTACTTTGAGTGTGTCTTAGATTGGTCACAAACTTCATAGGGTTAATATAATGTTTAGTTACATTACATTTTATTGTTGTTTGCTTCATATCCAGTAGAATTTGTTGGCATATTTATCTTCTTAGAGATTGACCTAATGGTGAAACCAATATAATATAAATTTCTTGTCTATTAGTAAGCTTAGATATAAATGCCAAATTTTATTTGAACCTTATGTGAGATAGTTAAAATCCGCGTAACAGTGAGATTTCTATTTTATCTATTGGTAAGTCTTTGACTAGAAGCCTCATACTACGTTCGCACACATCCACGACTCACATCGATCTCGATTTACCTACAATCTGGATTGTGACTGTCGCTAGTCTCCGCTCGAGAAGAACCTGGCTATTACATGCAATCATAAAACTGACATAACTACGCGGTAAGTCACAAACACCAACAAACAAAATGGAAGTTTTGGTTAGAAATAAATACTTTTTCTTGCCATACATCTAATAATAGACAGATGTCGTCGTCTCTCCAGATGTCTTTTTTATTTCTCTGTCGATAGCCTGACACGTGTTCCGCAGCCATCTTGTATTTTCTCGTGCGTATGGGATTGTGGGATCTCTCTTATGACTGGATCTAGTTTCGAGAACTCTCTCCAGTCGATCGCAATTGAACCTCGTTTCGGTTGAGTGCATTTGCACCACGGAACAGGCTCCGACCTTAGTCACAATCTAGATCGAAATGCTCGGTGCGAACAGGGTATCAGGACGTTGGCTGAATTTGTGTGAAAGTAGTAATTAACTGTGTGGTGTTAGATTTTTATATACTGTATTCCTGTTATTAGTGTATTCTCTGTTAAGGGCATAATTAATGCTTATATTAACATCTCTTGGGAAATTGTGTCTGTTAGCTGTTTGTGAGATCATATGTAATTCCATAAACTGTATCTATCTCTAAGCAATTATGAGTGGGTGAAGACACAGCTATTTAAAGACTTTTGTAGTCATTAGGCAGCTAATTTGTAAAGAAATCATAGTTCCTTAAAATAATATACATTATTTAAAGACAGTTACAATTTTACCCTTGTCTTATTCAAACATATCAATTATTTTAATAATAAAAAATAAATTTTCTGTCTCTTCATTATCCCTTACATTGTCAATGCTTTTTGGATCAATATAACTGCTTTTGCATTATTTGATTGTTAAAAACATTACTGGTTGTTGCTTATTACCTTTTACATTATATAAATGTTACAGTAGAGCATCGATTATCTGACTCAATTGGGGACTCGGGTTGGTCGGATAACTGAAGAAATCAGATAACCAAAAAGAATGAAAAAAAATACATTATTACTATAGTATATTAGTATGCAGCTGGATGGCCGAACGGTCAAGGTGGCAGCCTACCGCTCTGGGGGACCCGGGTTCGAATCTGAAAGAGTTGAAAAAATTCCCAGGAATTTTTCAGGGGTGATCCGTTCAGATATGTCAGGCCCCATCCCTCACCACCCAGCAGCCCCATTGTGGGCCTGGCCGAACCTATAATGGGCTTGCAAAAAGAGGCCCTCCTAGTGCCCACAGGGCGGAAAGAGTTAAAAAAAAAAAAAGAAGTATATAAGTATATCCCATGTAATTAGTATATTGCTATTAACCTATGTCGCGTTGAATTTTCATCGATGTTAAGCCTAACAAAATTTTTTTTTAAATAATTGTCACTATTGTATCGTTAAAAATTATTTTATTGCTCACAAAACAAACAACCACTCATAATTAGAAAATTAAGCCTCATTTAAATATTGGTTGCCCTTTCATGGTTGAGCCAGTGTTGCCAGCTAAAACACGCAAAAATTTAACAAAAATAATATTAAAATAGCCAAGACATAGCCAAATATTGTAGCTCCACATCACTAGTGGACATTTAAAATTTGCCGACTAGAAAGGTCGGTTAACCGATGTGACGGTTAATCGGGGGTCGGATAATCAATGCTCTACTGTATTTGCAACATATTTTTCACCAACAACATTAATGCTTACCAGAATAATAATAAAAAAGCAGATTGGATGATGGAAAACATTAATAATACATTACAAAAACAAACTGTCAATTTTTTTAGTAAAAAAGCAATAAAAAGTTGTCAGTAGTAATTGAAAAGCTAAGTGAAATTAAAATAAATAATATAATTTAAACTCAATACTATTTCAAAAATTATTTTCAAATAACTAGTGGCACCTCTAGTAGCAAGTATATGTGGATGATGCAAAAAATTGTAATGAACTTGTGATGGATGAAAATTATTAAAAATTATTTTAGCAGTTTGAAAACTGATTTGGGCAAAGTATGAATCTGATTGATCTATTAATTTACAACTAAACTACTAATATTGAGTGGGCATAATAGTAATGTAAGAAAAGAAAGAAAATGAAAATTTAAGTAATTGAAATATTTACTCTA